GAGTTCTCATGATATCTGATGGTTTAAAAGTGGCATTTCCCCCTTTGCTTTCTCTCTCCTACCCTCATGTGAAGAAGGTACTTGATTCTCCTTTACTTTCTACCATGATTGTAAGTTTCCTGAGGCCTCTGCAGCCATGCGGAACTGTGAGTCAATTAAACTTTTCTTCTTCATAAACTACCCAGTCTCAGGTAGTTCTTTTCTTTTTTTTTTTTTCTTTTGTTTTTTTTTGAGATGAAGTCTCACTCTGTCGCCCAAGCTGGAGTACAGTGGTGTGATCTTGGCTCACTGCAACCTCCACCTACCTCTCAGGTTCAAGCGATTCTCATGCCTCAGCCCCCCTGAGTAGCTGGGACTACACGTGCACGCCTCCACGCCCAGCTAATATTCTGTATTTTCAGTAGAGATGGAGTTTCACCATGTTGGCAGGCCGGTCTCAAACTCCTGACCTCAGGTGATCCGCCCACCTTGGCTTCCCAAGGTGCTGGGATTACAGGCTTGCGCCACTTACCACGCCTGGCCGCAGGTAGTTCTTTAAAGCAGTGTGAAAACGAACTAATACAACAGGCAATAAAACATGCTGGTAAGGATGTGGAGAAAACAGAACCCTCATGCATTAAAACTACTATGGAAAAATTACAAGTCCAATAAAAGAAATGAACTGTAAAGTTGAAGAAGTCGCCCAAAAAGTAGAACACAATGACAAGGACAGAAAATAAGAAAGAAATGAAATGTAAAGAAGCAGGCTAGGAGACATCATATCTTAATAATGGGAAGTTTCAGAAAGAGAAAACAAAAGGCAAAAATTAATCCAAGAAATCAAAGGGTACACTGAGAATATTCCATAAACTTCTAAAAAAGAAAAAACAAACAATTAGATCAGATATGAATAATCAAGAACTAGGATGACTTTGGATTCTCAATACTTACACAGTAAACAAGAAAACAATGAGGTATAGACTCCAATATTTGAATGACAAGAGTTTTCAAGCTTTAATTCTATATCCAAGTACAAGCACAGAATATGCCATTTTCTAAACATAGTATCTCAAAAAACTTACTTCCCATGCCTACTTTCTCAAGAAGGTACTGGAAGATGTGCTCTACCAAAGGACAGTGTAAATAAAGAAAAAATAAGACATATCATAAAGAAAACTGAAAATCTAACACAACAGAGACATACAGGAAGATCTCAGGATAAATACTTGCATCTGACACAGAGGGCAACTAGTCCAGATCAGAAGAATGTAACTCAAAAGACAGTTATAATGATGGTTGTTATCACTAAGATAACAACTGCTAATGTAAGAAAGAATGTCCAGGAAATACGAAGAGAACATAAAATAGTTGTTCTGTTCCCTAAGAAGGCAGGAGGGGATGAGATATAATCCAAAGCTGAGGTGAAAAGATCACCTTTAGACACGAACAACTGCTACTGAGACTCTGGAAGAGTCTTTAACACAGATGAAGTCAGATAGTGGACAATAATGAAGCTGCCTTCCAACGTTTTCCACCGTCTCTGTAAATTAGGAAGAAAACCCACTTGCTAAGCATAAAAGAGGTGGTTGAAATAACCGTTAAAAATAGTAGGAAAAGTTAACTAGGGAAAAACAGTAGGCTATCTAAGCAGTGTTGAGACTGCTGCACTGGTTCCCCTATTAATTTATGATCATGAATCTGCTCTGTCAAAACTTTTCTTCAGCAGTACTTGGCTGTTTAGATACAGATTATCCAGTTACGGGGGCTCGTCAGAGTTACCACTTCATTTCATTTGGAGAAGGGCAAAGATAAGAATATAAGTTAGAGAATTATTTAAATAATGAGCTATGAACTTTAACAAGGATAATGAAGAAAATGAGAAAGGATAATATGTATTAAGTGGTTAGGATAATGCCAAGGCAATATTAAGCAATAAAAAAGATAGCTATTATTATTAACTAACCACAGTCCTCCAGCGGTAAGTGATTTCCATCACTCTAATTTGCAATCATCTATATAAATGTATCTCTCTCTTGCTCTCTTCTACCATAACAAGCTCTTTGAGGATGAGCAGTGTGTCTTACTCATCTTTGTCTCTTCCTAAAGCCTAACTCAGTAGTTAGCACGCTGTAAGAGGCTCTTAAATGTGTATGATTAAAACAACAAATAAAATACCCTGCCTTTAAGCTACCCATATAGGGCATTATCACCTTAACATTAATTCAGAAAAATAGATATCTCCTTAACATTCATTCAGAAAAACAGGTATTTTCAAGAAAGGCATCTAAGGGCCACTGTCAATTCAATGGTAGAAATTTACTAAGCAGCTAATAGCATGATTGATAGGAATTTTCCAGTACTATAGACTACAGAATTAGCATGAGGAAGAAAATCAGTTAATGCACAGTACATGAAAACTGAAAATATGTTTTCTCATTTTTAAGGGGCAGGAGGGACCAATCCCTGCCTCTATTTTTAATCAGTTTAGTACCCCACAATGTTTCATTAAATGAATACTCCAAAGTACAACCTACCCAATGCTGATCAAATATATGCATAAAGACTTCAAAGTAAGTTCAATAACACATACTAATCTGTGAGCTGGCCAGCCCTTTAACTTCCTCTCTGCTTTAGGCAGAGAGCAGATCCCCCAAATAAGAATGTACCTTCCCTGGTTTATTAAAGGCCATTCTTTTTTGGCTGTAGATGCAATTGGAAAAAAAAAAGGATTTGATTTTTGCTGTTGCTTAAGCTAATATAATGTTCATTTAAAAATATTCATAGGGAAAAATATACAGCTTTGATACAATAGTAGACATATATAGGATATAGTGAATTACAACCTTAAGTGCAAGCGGTGCTAAAAATCATCTTTAGTAAATGCGTTCTTTGAAACTGTTGGTCCTTTTAAGTCTGAAGCACTATGTAATACCTAATATGATATTAAAACCGGCCAGGCCAAGCAGCTCACCCCTATAATTTCAGTATTTGGGGAGGCTGAGGTGGGAGGATCTCTTAAGCCCAGGAGTTGAAGACTAGCCTGGGCAACAGAGTGAGACCCCGTCTCTACAAAAAAAAAAAAAAAAAAAAAAAATTAGCTTGGTATGGTGGCAGGCACCTGTGGTCCTGGCTACATAGGAGGCTGAGGCAAGAGGATCCCTGAGACCAGGAGGTTCAGGATGCAGTGTGCCATGTTCAAGCCACTGCACTCCAGTCTGTATGACAGAGTGAGAACGTGTCTCAAAAAATATATATACTAAAACACCTAAACCTCTAGGTCTAATACTTTATGGAAAATATATGCAGAGTTCTCATGAGAGATGACAAAACAGTTCCTTGTCTCTGTATTTTCTAACCTGTATTCTAATAAGAAGTCACAACAGAAGCTAGGAAAAGGGGATTTCAGGCAGTGAACAAAAAGGAAAGAAAAAAATGTTTTGCAATAGGATACTTCTTAGTCCAATTTGACTCCCTACAGCACTCTTGTTTTTGCCTGAAGGTTCCAGGAACTGTCCCATCTCTACTTTCAAGGAAAGAACTTGCAGTTTCTGTCCAGAGTTGACCTCCTTCCCAGAGCTATTATAGAAAAAAGAGCACCTGCTCTGGCTGCATCTCCATTCACAATTGCTGATGTGTAAATTAAGCAATTCAACTACAGCAATGTGTGTGTTTGTCAGTCATTAAGAACAATACATTTGAGGGGGATGGGTTGAAAATAAAAGAAAAAAGAAAATGACAAAATGTCTGGGTTTTGGGAAAACAGGAAAGAATGACAGATACAATCCAAAGCAGAGCTTGTCTGCCAGCAACAAGGGAGAAACCTGGCAATAGATTAAAAGGTTTCCTTTTCCTCTACCCTCTTCTCTTTACTTTAGTGAAAGTTAAAGACACATCATAGGTGGTATAAACAGGGAAAGGCTAGATCAAGTTTGGGTACACAAACTGTAATCTAATCTATCTGCATTTCAGAGTAATACCCAGAGGACATCTTCAGATAGCTACTGAACATATTCTTTTGTTTGTCCCATACGCAGCTCAAAATCATCAAATAGTAATGTGCAATTTACCTATAAATTCAGGATAAACTTAATGAAATTTTTTAAAAATCTAAGTTTTTTAGAAATAAAAAATAGCCAAGCAGGCTCACACCTGTAATCCCAGCATTTTGGGAAGCTTAGGAGGGAGGATTACTTGAAGCCAGTTTGATGCCAGCCTGGCCAACATAGCAAGACTCTTGTTTCTAAAAATAAAAAAAAGGAGCCAGGCATGGTAGCATGCGCCTGGATCCCAACTACTCAGGAAGATGAGGTGGGAGGATCTCTTGAGCCTAGGAGTTCAAGACTGCAGTGAGCTGTGATCATCATTGCACTCCAGTCTGGACAACAGAGTGAGACCCTGTCTCTAAAAAATTAAAATTAAAAAAAGCTTCATAATTATCATTAGACATAGTTGTGGCCAAAATTCTAGTTAATAAAAACTTCGGGCTAAGAGATACACTATAAAAATACATTTTAATAGAAATATTCTTTTGCTAAAACTTTTCTTACAAACATTTTTCAAAAAATACAGATACAATCTAACAAAAATTATGCTAAAATATCAGTCTTTCTCTGATTCTGAAGATACCTGAAGATTCTGCCTAGCTTCAATAATTTATTGAAACCATGACATGAGTCTTATAAAATAGCTCAGAAGTATTTTCCCAGTTTGAGTTATTATTTTATTTCTTATATCACTCTTGTATCTTCTATATCAATAACCACTAAATAACAAATGTTTGCCGCACCTAGGGAGTATTATAATCCTTTACTGTGACTTCTCTGTAAACATTTTCTGAACTAAAAATTAATTCTAAATTATCTGAAACAGATGCTATCCAAACAATAACAAGTATATTCCAAAGAGATGCAACATAGCCTGGTTACTCTTCTATAGATTCAATCCCATAAACCCAACATCCAACTCGAGTTGTTTATGTTTTTAATGAAGTAAAATTACCATAGATACAAAAGCTGTATTACCTTCATAATGTTAACTAAATCTGTTTGATAGTAGCGATCCTGATGTGCATTTGCTGCCGCTAGGGTAAGAAGATAATCATTCCTTGCGTGGGTAGCTTTGGAATTACACTCAGATCGCCGGGCTTTTAACTAAAACATAGCAAAAAAAATAATATAATAATAACAATCAGTGCAAATTGATATTGTACTGCAAAACACATGAATCCTACTCTTAGTTTGCAATTAATGGCTTCCCAACAAGAATAAAGGTAACCATGTGGGGAAAACATTTATATGTATATAAAAATTATTCATCACTACTGAGGAATGAAACAGTGACTAGAACTGTTATACAGGGTACGAACAATTTCAAATATTTGCTTAACATACTTCTAAAGCTTTGTAAATAACTTAAAAATATTTTGCCCATTTTATTTAAATGAGTAAATAAAGGTTCTGAAATTAAGTACCTTATCTTCAAAGGTATGGGTAAATCTAGTAGAGTTAGAAAATAGTTTTCTAAAAATCAGCACTCCTAATGTGCCAGATGAACTGCATGCTAGTTTGAAGCCTGGCAGCCACAGCCAGGTCTCTAAGCTTACTTAATCAGGCATTCTACAGTGTGAAGTTTTCGAAGGAAAAACTCACTCACATCTGGCCCAGAATATCACCCAAGGGTCTAAATCTAAATGAAATAGATTTTGTAGAGCTTTCCAAAGCCCCCGGGTTAAGTTTCTTGGACTAAGAGCTAAAGACAACAGGCTACCTAAGCAGGTAAGGTATAGAAACTTATCCCTAATGCAGTCTTGAAAAGCAAGTGTGTCCAAGGTGTTGACAACTGAGTGAAAAACCCCCATGAACTGGGAGGGAAAGTTCCTCCCTGAGTCAGTGACTTTAAAATGCTTCTCTAAGGTAGAAATAATTCACCTCCACCCTCAAAGATCCAATCCTCTGTTTTACAAGCTAAGAGGTTTCTCAGTTGTGAAATATACTTAGTGAAAACTTACCTTTACACTTGCCTTCTGTAAACTGATTCTTGATTGAAAAAGACTAAGTTTAGATCTATAATAAAAATAGAAAAGTGTGTTTAATAAAATCATCTAATTATATCACAATAAAATTATTAACTATATTATTAAATTTTTAAAATAATCTTTTTTGAAGATACTGTTCTAAAAAAGAATGAAAAAATGGAAAACCAAGAGTAATTATTATTTTCCTTTATTTTACTACAGGAAGAATTTAATATTATGGTAAAACAGGAAATATTGGGATTAATATAAGAAAAATAACCAGAATGACCCCCCCAAAAAAAAACTTGACAAAAAAAAATCAAAATATATTGTTGTCTCCTAATAAACAAAAGCCAGCAAACTATAGACTATTCTCTCAGTACCATACAACTTCACACACTTTAGTTCCTGCAAAGGTTAGAGAGACCCAGGGACAACCAACCTATGGACGCAAGCGTCAGCAAACTTTCGGGGCTGTGTGTGAAAGACTCTAACAAGACCAGGAATGCAATAATCCAATCAACAGGCTCTATGAAGTCCTTACTTCTATTATTTCCCCCATTAAAAGTACTTCTTGTTTGGGTACCTGCCTGTGTGCCTCCTCTGCTCTAAAAGGGTATTCTGAACTTACTGAGAAAGTCCTGGGACTCCCTGCTCTGTATGATGTAATCTTCTCCCACTCTGTGTTCTTATCTCCCTTGATCCTTTTTCAGTTTGGGAGAATAACCATAATCTAACAATCAGTAGTACAAACATGTTGATTTTACCCAAACAGCTAGAGAAAACCATATGGAGAAAGTCAACAGACAAATGCTAGGGAACAAGCAACACTCCCAGGACCAGTGATTTTTTTTTTAAAGCTGCAATGTTTGTCTTGACTTTAGTGTCACGGTGATTTCCATGGCAGAATTCAATACATGTGCTGGCAGCCGTGCCTCATGAAGTAAAGTTGCTGGCCAGTTTGGGACTGGATGATGGAGCAGTTAGTCTTTGCAAAGCCAGTGTGAAGAGGATAGGAAAAGCAGTCTCATTTTTCTAACAAGAGAAAACATTCAGGGTTGAACACATATGCAGCCCAACTACTTCCCCAACTATTAAAAAAATTGGGTTTAAAAGATCCCTGTTATTTTTTACCTTGTCATAGTCATATCTCATAATTTTTTTTTATTAATCATATTCTTGTTCATTTTATGTAGAAAAGTAAAGGCCACAAACTCAAATCTCTGAGAAAGCCTTTTCAGAGTAAGATTGTGTTTGGAGATATTCCCAGTTCTCCTTTTTTTAGTCATTATCCAAATGGGCTGAGTTGCATGTAGATCTTCCAATATAAGGTTTTAAGTTTCTGGCTTCTGCTTTATTTCCTAATCCTAATATACTTCTTGTGCAGTATTAAGGTAGGTATTAGTGATAGATAGAATAAGATAGTACCTGTTCTCAAAGATTGCAATCTAGAAAAAATAAGGCAGGATTTTTACACTCAAACACTACACAAATAATGAACTACACCGTATGCTACTCTTTACCACCTACCCTTCAAAATTTATGTCCCTTGGGGTTCCGAACTCAACTTCTCATCTATTCTATACATAATTTTCTTCTTGTAACTACCATCTGATAGGCAACTGACCCTCAAAGCAAGATCTTGAGGCCCAAATTCTCATTTAAGTGCCAGATATTTGACTACCTTCCAAACATATTCACCCCAGTGTTTCCCACGCTCTTCAGAATAAACATATCCAAAATGAAATTCATCATCTCCTTCAAATTGTATCCCTCTTCCTTCTATGGTCTCTCCTAATGCGTGCATCTCCACACCATCTGTCAAATCATCTATCAAAACTATAGGTAGTACAGTTTAACTTCCCCTTCCTGATCTTCCTCCTCAACTCTACTTAGAAAATTTATACTCATTCCTCAAGATTCTATCCAAACATCACCTCTTATATAAAGCTTTCCTTTATCATTCGGCAAAATTAACCTCTATATTTTCTATGCTTTCCTAAGAGTGTTTTCACATCACTACTGCAAATAAGTTAATAGTTAATATTAAGTGACTTTAGACAATTTCTTTTAGTTTCTAATTCTAGGCCTTAAATTCCTTGAGGGCACAAAGCTTACCTTACTCATCTCTGTACTCACTGTACCCAATATAAAGTATTCAACAAAGAGCGAATAAATGAAGATAAAGAGGCATTCCTTACTCTATAGTTGAAAAGTTAACATTAGTGTGTCTAGCTTGCTGTATCCCCTCCGAATTTGGGTCACGTTAGAAGGCAATTCCTTGTGATCAGCTCTATGAACTAGACCCTATCAAATCCCCATTTCTCAGAAACAGCCCTCCACTGTGCTCATGTTCATCCTGTGGGCTGTGGCTAAATTAGGTGTTTATACATTCTTTACAAATCTGTCAATTCTCTGTTCTAGGATCTCTGAAAGTTTAAGAAAACAAGTTTCTAAAAATGACTATGACAGTATATTCCCAATGGAGATCTAATATAAAAACTTCAGGTCTTATTGAGAAGATGGGTTCATTGATTCTATAAAAGTACAGGAAATATTTGTATGTTCAAAGAATAAAACAATAAATACAGTAAAATAAACTAGGGAAATATTAAATGTGCTTTCCTATAACATCAAGTCCTTCATGAATACTCACTAGCCCTTGATAAACCAGGGAGCCCCTGAATTTTCACAAGTTGCTTATAAGCTTGCTTACATTTCTTGTGGATAAAAACCGTATTAGAAAGACACCCCCTTCCTTGCTGGTCTGTTTGTACAAGTGTTCAAAGACTTTCTGAGTTTACGACTAGGAGTTCAGACTCCTAGATTTTGCATCAGTCAGCACACTGAACCAGAGTCTCAGCTCTCCTTCTCACAGACCTCTTCAGAGTCCAGTTCTATAACATGCTTTTTCTCATCAACTTTTTATCTTGCCTTAAATTGTCATTGCAAAAATCTCTATTACACTGCTTGCTTTATATCACCTTCTATTACCAGTTGCCAGTTCCTTCTTTTCCTACTTATTCTTTAAAAAAAAAGGTCTTATAATTCACATACATTGAAAGGGAAATTCATACAATTGCTAAAGCATACATGAAAAATTATGTATATATACACTAGATTTTTGTGTAAAAGAAAAAAACAGTGCCTGGGGCAGGGTTTCTACATGGAGGTCAGTGCTCTTGTTCACTTGATGTGTTCATGGACCTTCAGTGGCATCTTGAGGATCACAGGGATTTCCAACTACAACTGATTGAGAGTCCAGCATGAGAAAAATGAGGCTCTTAAACCCTGATATTCAGACACCACAGCAGTGACTTTAGGCTTTTGATAAGCTTTCAAGTCTGTAAATATAATGTTCATTTACCTTCTTTTTCAAAATTCAATTTAATGTGAAAAACTGACTAATCTAATATTCCCATTTTGCTATATTAATTCAGATAAAAATCAGCCAATTAAAAAAAGTGACCTAAAGTATATAACATATGTAGGTCAAATGAAACCACCACTACCTGAGAATAGGTCCATGCTCACTACTAATACAGAACAAACTATTAGCAACAATAACATTTATTTGCATAATTATTTTCTCAGAAATGTTAAAACACATACTTTGCCTCGATGTCAGCTTTCTCTCGTACTGCATGAGCCATCTGTTCAGTCTCAAAGTATTTCTTTTTGCCTTTAGCTAAATCTTTCACTGTCTCTTGTAATTCAGTTTGGATCTTTGTCAACTGGTCCACACACTATAAAATACAAAAGTACAATCATTATGATTTTAGTTTTCAGGCTTACAGAAAATGGCTTCATCCTAAGGACTATACACTATGCCTTCAGGATGGAAACCCAGGAGAAAAGTCAGTACTTTCAGTGTCCTTCAAGTTGCAAATTAAAATCCTGTGATTTAAAATCCTGGTATTTCCATCTCAAGTACTACACATCAAACAGTGTCACAGTTTGCCTAACAACCATACATTGAGAAATAACCCGAGTGCTGCTGATGACTGACATTAAGGTAAGACATGGAAGAGCAACTACAAAACATGTTCTTACTGTTGGAGATACCATGATAATAAAAGCAAAAGAATAAGGTAATTCTGTATTTCCCCATCATCTTAATAAAGTCTCTATGTTTGGGTAACTGATAGTGCAAGGGGTACTGAAGAATTCACCCCTTAGACAAGAGGGAGTGACACCTGAGTAGTCTGACTTGGTAAGTCCAAGGTGAACAAGAGAAGCAGGAAATCTGGGTACCACATAACAATTATTACTCAAAACCATCCCCTGCCCAACTCCTTGGATACACATATACATTCGAGGAAAAGGGATGGACGTAACAACTAAAACAATGTTTAGTCAATTAACTCTTAAAACACATTGGGGCCAAAGCAATACTGCTTCAGGACCCTTCTGAGTATCCAAAGGAGATTGACCCCACTTTGAAACAAACGACTGAGAAGTTTCACCAGCCTGAGGCCAGCTTAGAGCAGTCACATCTAAAAACTTCTAAGCCTGATACAGCACTGGCAGAGACTGACAAAAGCTCAGCAAAACAGAAGGACACACTGGTGAGGGATTATTGTGCAAGGGTGAATAGTGTGGAGGAGGGCAAGGATATCAGAAGAACCAGGATAAAAAAAGGATAAACTTAACCATATGACATACAGGCTAGACTTTCCCAGAAACTGCTAGGTGTTAAGAAAGGTCTACAGGGGATGAGAGATCTAGAAGATTCTGCATGGACAGATAAAAGCAAAATAACCACTCATATTTATTAAGCACTTAATAAGTGTTAGTCTGTGAAGGAAAAGGTTAAAAAAAAAACACAAAATAAAACAAAACTTTTCCCCTCTGCATGAAACTGGGCCTTTGCTCAACTTTCTAGATCTGTGTTTCAATAGAAACCTGATGAGAAGACACAATGTCAGCTGTGTTGTTAGGCAACATTGCTTACAAACCCTGGTAGGCAAACTGCATCAATTTGGGATAAGCTAAAAATTAACTATAAATATCTGATAGAAAAGCCATGGCTTTGGGCTTCTGTGAGTATGGTGTATCTGAACATGTCCCTTACAGGGACCTTGGAAGCTCTGTCTATAGAGTTGTTGTAAAAAAATTTTAGTCTCCTTTAGGGGCTAAAGCTGGCCCTGCAAATGTGAGTCTTACTCACTTGTCCTAGACCTGCCACTTGGAGGACCAAACAGAATGACTGGTTGGCTACGTGGACTGAGACATACAATAGTGGGAGAATTAATCCCATTAATGCTAGATGCTTCCCTACTGACACATTGGTTCCCTGTACTCTGTCCTTCTCAGTAAACCTCTTGTCAGGTGTGGCCTATGACAGCCACGGGAGTCTGAATGCTTATTACTTCTAAAAAGACCCCTTGTGGGCACTGCACAGTGCTATGTTTCGCACTTTACTGGCATTATCACATTTAGTCCTTGAAACAACTCTATGGAAAAGGTGGTGGTGGTGGTAGTAGTAGTAGTAGTAGTAGCAGTAGTAGTAGTAGTAGTGATCCCATTAAGATGAGAAAATAGACTCAGATGTTAAATAATTTATTCCGAGTCACACAGCAAGGATGTGATACCATTTACCATGCAACCCATTAAAGTGTGTACCCTAGTTCTGTGATGACCATGTTTTAAAGGTCTCTTATAGACACAGTTTATCTTAAAAGTAAGCTTTAAAAAAACTGACATATAGTTCACATACAACAAAATTCACCTTTTTAAAGTATACAATTCAGTGGTGACAAGGTTGTTCAACCATCACTCTCCTTGAATTCCAAAACATTTTCTTACCCCCAAAAGAAACTCTGTATCCATTAGCTGTCACTCCTCATTTCTCCCCACCTCCAACAACAATTAATCTACTTTTTGTCTCTATGGAGTTCCTATTTGGGATATTTAGTACAAATGGAATCACATAATATGTGGCCTTATGTGTCTCACTTCTTTCACTTACAAAACATTTTTAGGGTTCATTCAAGTTGTAGCAGGTATCAGTACTTCATTCCTTTTTATCACTGAATAGTATTTCGTTATATATAAACTAAAAGTAAGCTTTTATCTTGCAGAAAGAAAAGTTGTCTTTCCCCCTAAATTGTAATAGTACTTATCAAATACAAAGCTTTTGTTTAATAAATGATATGATGACAACCTGACACTCCCATAAAGAAGTGCTGAACATCCTAATAACACTGTGTTTGCAGGTGTGAAGAGCTAAAAGCAGGCTTCATGGCTACAATTCGATATTAAGAACCAAAAACTGGGCCAGGTACGGTGGCTTACACCTGTAATCTTAGCACTTTGGGAGGCTGAGAAAGTGAGATATCCTGAGCCCTGGAGTTCGAGACAACATAGTGAAATCTCATCTCTACAAAAAAAGTACAAAAATTAGCCAGGTGTGGTGGCAAGCACATGTAGTCCCAACTACTTGGGAGGCTGGGGTGGAAGGATCACTTGAGCCCTGGAGATTGAGGCTGCAGTGAGCCATGTTCATGCCACCGCACTCTAGCATGGGTGACAGAGCAGAGAAAAATTCTGTCTAAAAAAAAAAAAAAAAAAAAGAAGTTAAAAGTATAGTCTCTGAGTATGACACAGACACAATAATAAACTTGCTAATAACTTGAATATAAGAATAAAAATAAAAGTAACCTGGGCCAACACATCAAAGTCCTATAAATGATTAGGTTCTCTAACCCAGTAATAATGCCCTGGAAATTTATCCTAAGAAAAAAATATAAAAAGTTAATTTTTACTGTAGACTTAAGGGTAATGTCCAAAACCAGATGTAAGATTAAAGAAACCAGAATGGAAAAATTCACAAAATAATAAAAAATAATAAACATAAAGGTTATGTAGAAACATGAAAAATTAGGAAACTGAGAGAATGAAGATAAAAGGAGTAAGAGAATTAAGTAGTCTACTATGGTGAAGGCATTTACATGTATTTTTCTATAAACCTGTTTCAATATTAAGCTTTGTTTTAAAAGCATTGTATAGGATTTGGAATTAGGAAGTAGTAGTATATTCAAGTTCCCACTCTGTTATTTACTACCTAAGTCTCTTTAATATTTTTAGCTTTAATTTTATCATTTGTAAAATTATAATACTTAAATACTATCAGGGTTGTATAAAAATCAAATGAGACTATAATGGATATAGTAGCAGTCTGCAAACTCTAAAGTGTTACATAAATGTGAACCACAATATTTCAAGGAAGGTAAGTAAACTCTAGTATAAATGAGAAAGATACGGACAAAAGTATGGTTAAGTAAACATAAGAATGGCAAAGAGCCTTAAATTATTATGGCTCTTGTTCTAATTTTTAAGTAAATGTCAACATATAGAAAATAATATTGAAAAATGTAATAATTCTCATAATCCTCATTATAAACTGGGGCTCTTCAGAATTGTAATATAACTGTGTTTATCCTTCAAGCATTAAAAAATAGCCAAATTAGAGAAAATCTTAAAAAGAACATGAACTTTAAAATGTTACAGAGGAAGAATTTTAAGTCAGATTGGTTCTGATCATGACAGAACAACTTGGATCAGACTACCTTTCTCTAGTCTGGAAAGTGTAAAAGTTGGACAAAATGCGTTTTTTAAAAACTGCCAGCATTAAAGACCACAACCATACACTGGACTTAAAGGACTAAGACACATGGGAGAAGAGGAATACACCAAGGTAAGTCTTAAATTCAACTTGGCTTTTTTCTCAGGGCATTTGTTGAATCACGGTATAAAGAAATAGGACAGAAACAGAAAGTGGCATTCTTACTAGACTGGGGAGACAGAGGTTGGAGTTTAGGGACGCCAAAAGAACAGGAACTTGAGAGGTAAGGGTCTAGAAAGAGGGGTACTGCAGAAAAGCAAGTCCAAAAGTCTGTATGCAATTTCCCCTTCGGTTAACAGACAACTTCTAAAAAGCAGGTGTTGGGTGAAATGCCAAGAAATCCAGTGGAGAACAGTAGCCGAGAGGCTAAAGAGTGAGCAGAGATCAGAGTATCAGAGCAGCTACATGACATTGAGAAGACAAAGGTTAGAGTTCAAGTCTTATCAAAGTAGAAGGGTCTTGGTAAGCAACCTAGTTTAACCTTTCAGTTAAAACTCTAGGAGTAAGTGAAACAGAATAGCCCTAAAAAGCCTAAAACCAGAGATCCTAACGGAGAACCAAGGTGATCTAATAGCATTCTATCTGCCTGCCAGAAGAAAGCTTAACCCTCTTTGGAAATAACATCTTCCAGAGCCTCTATAATTTTTATCCATAATGTCCAACATTGTGAGTCATAATCAAACAGAAGATCCAAATAACCAAAAATCAAGAAAAACCGCAGGCAGTTAAAAGAGACCTACAGGCAATTAAGATAGTGAAATTATACAACAGAGATTAGTAGTAACATGTTTAAGAGGATAAAGGAAAAACATGGAGAACTGTACCAGAAACATGGAATGTATTATTTAAAAGTCAAATAAAAATCCTGGAACTGAAAAGTACATTAAGATTCCAAAAGATGAGGTTTTTCTGTTTTGTTTTTGAGAAAGGGTCTCCCTCTGTCACCCAAGCTGGAGTGCAGTGGCATGATCTCGACTTACTGTAATCTCTACCTCCTGGGCTTAAGTGATCCTCCTGCCTCAACCTCCCAAGTAGCTGGGACTACAGGCATGAACCACCACACCTGGCTAATTTTTGCATTTTTTGTAGAGACAGGATTTCACCATGTTGGCCAGGCTGATCTTGAACTGAAATGATCCTCCCACCTCGACCTCTCAAAGTGCTGAAATTACAGGTGTGAGCCACCACTCCTGTCCCCAAAATATGAGTTTTTAAAGCAGATTCAAAATAGTAGAACAGTATATTAACAAACTTGTTAAATATTCAGATTGAAGTACACAGAGAAAAAAGGGTGGAAAACAGAAAATGCTAAAAAAGTAGAAAAGACATATGAACAGAGGCAAAAGGTCTAACAGCCAAAAAGTCATAAATGGGAGTTAAATAGAATTATCTTGCAAGAAGATTTTTATATTGTTCATGAGGTGGTAAAATACTAATTCAAGGTAGACTGTAATAAGTTAATTTGAACCAGGCGAGGTGGCTCATGCCTGTAAAACCTGCACTTTGGGAGGCTGAGGTGGGCAGATCACATGAGGTCAGGAGTTCAGGACCAGCCTGGCCAACGTGGTGAAACCCTGTCTCTACTAAAACACAATAAAATTAGCCAGGCGTGGTGGTACACGCCTGTAATCCCAACCACTCAGGAGACTGGGGTGGGAGGATCACCTGAGCCTGAGAGGCAGAGGCTGCAGTCAGTGAGATCACGCCACTGCACTCTAGCCTGGGTGACAAGGCGAGACTCCGTCTCAAAAAAAAAAAGTTAATTTGGAACAAAGTTTGGGGAATAGTAAAATTAATGATTCAAGGTAATGTAATAAGTTAGGGAGGCATATTAGATTCTCTAAGGTAATTACTAAAAGAATATAGGATTTAGAAAGTAAGAAGCTAATAGTGGAGGGAAAAATTGATATGAAAGAATATTAGATTGCTTAATATCATTAACCATCAGTGAAATATAGATCAAAGCCACAGTAAAATATTAATTACCTCACACCTGTTAGGAAGCTATTTTTTTAAAAAAAGATAACAAATGTTGGCAAGGCTGTAGAGAAATTGGAGCCCTTGTGCACTGTTGGTGGGAATGCCAAATGATGCAGGTGCTATGCAAAACAACTCTGGTCATTCGGGAAAATGAAAAATCTGGGATTGCTACCTGTAAGATTTATAAATCTGGCACATTGGGGATTACCATGTGGAGAGAGTTGTTAGTGAGTGAAGCCGTTCAGAAAAGCAGAGCTAATGGATGGAAAGAAAGTCTGAATTCTAATACCATCATTTGAACCCCTAGATCCATCCATGCTTGAAGTCCTTCAATTTTCAGTTATACAAGCAGATACATTCCCTTCTTGGCTTAAACAGTTTGAAGGAGGTTTCTGTCATTTGCTATCTCAGAGTCCTGACAGATTTACCCAATATGTACTGAATATTTAACAATTGCTTAGATGTAACATAAATACATTATCAGCTATAATATAAAACAAGTTAATTCACAGACATGAGCATTTGTTGAATCTTACCAAAGATTTTTTTTTTCTTTTTTTTTTAGACAGTCTCACTGTCGCCCAGGCTGGAGTGCAGTGGCACAATCTCTGCTCACTGCAACCTCCACCTCCCGGGTTCAAGCAATTCTCTAGTCTCAGCCTCCCAAGTAGCTGGGACTACAGGCACATGCCACCATGCCTAGCTAATTTTTGTATTTTTAGTAGAGATGGGGTTTCACCAAATTGGTCAGGCTGGTCTTGAATTCCTGACCTCAGGTGATCCACCCGGCTTGGTCATCCAAAGTGCTGGGATTACAGGTGTGAGCCACTGCACCCGGCCTTACCAAACATTCTTTGCCCAGGAATGTCAATTAAATTCAAGTCTAAGACTACTTCATCAATGGAAGAGAAAAGAACCAGAGGTAGTTAAACTCTCGGAATATTCTGATACTGAGTGAGGTGGAACTTTCCAGTAATTCAATTAAATGTGATGAATGCACCGGAAATTTGAAATGCAGTATTTCCTCCTGGTTGGGAAGTTATACTAGTATTAATTCTCTGCCCCTACCTTCCACCCACTTTCTGCACAATCACACACACACACACACACACACACACACACACACACACAACTTTCTTCCAACTCAAAATCACTGGCCAGTGACCACATAGGTTACTCACTATGTTTGTTTTGAAAGAGATATTTTTTGGCAAAGATAAAACACAAGCATTTTTATACAAATATGTTAACTGACTAATATTACGTGAGTGCTCTAAAGAAATTAATGTTTTACATAAAGACACATATACATTTAACATACTGATTTCAAGCCACTAGAATCATCTTTGGCAAATGGAAAATTGAGGGGTTTTGGGTGGGAAAGGTGTTTGTAAAAATGTTCTGAAAATCCAAATTACAATTAGAATCAAAACACTGGATGGCTTCTAAAATATTATTTCCCTAAATAATTACTTTAATATTTTCTTTCTTTTACTTTAATATTTTCTAAAGTATTAATACTTCCACAAAAACTTTTAATTACTTATTAGGTATAATGATAATCTCAATTTTTGTAACTCTATTTCCAAAAGAACGCAATTCAATCACCTATTTTCAACAGCCAACTTTTTCTAAAAAGTCACATTAAGCAATGCCATTTTCCTATGAATGTTTTATTTCTGTGTAATAAAATACATCCATTTGAAAACATTTACTCATGTGTAACCCATATAAAGTTTAGAGTCCAACAGGGTTTTTAAAATAAGTTTTTTATATTTAGTCAAAATGTGTCAATTTCCTTTAATTATACAAAATGGGTCAAGTTGAAAGTAAGACAAATTAATGTTAACTTTTTTGAAGAATCAGTGGGATTAATAACCTTGTAACTATTCTAATATACACCAAACTATACCGATATTGTGAAACTAAGTAGATCTATGTACATGAATTATGCCGAAAAGTGGTATTTCTAAAAAATATTTACTGAGCTTCTTGAATGTTCACGGATTTGAATTATATTCACTTTTAGTAGTTAATAAAACATAGTACTTAATGAGAACATGTTGAAATCAGAAAATCCTAGTAAAATGTCAACTAGAAAACATACAGGACCATATAAAGTTTTAAATAAGATTTAGCATAATCTTACAGATTACAAATGTAGCGCTGAGATATTAAAATGCATATAAGAGCAGAAATAAAAACAATACCCTTTTTAGTTGCTGTTCTTTTAAGCTTCTCACTGTCCTTGCAGGCTCAGAAATGAAGTTTTTATAGTTTTCACATATATTCATCCGAGACTGGGCTACCTGCATTGTTCCCTCGAGAAAAGATTTCCAAACGGGATACATGCTCCTAAATTCAAAGAGGGATAGAAAAGCATTAGGCAGGGAACAGTAAGAAAAAGTTGGCTAACCTTTCGCTCACAGGGTAGCACTGACAGAATACATGAATGTTTTCTTTAATGTTTTTATACTGGCTTATAGGCAATATTTCAGCACACGTAAGAAGCAACGTGGCATATACTCTATTCCTTTTATAGCTCAGCAATAGAGAGTTTTGATTCATTAGCTATTCTTAACAATGGAGTAAAGTGCTACAAGAATTACAAAGCTCACACTATAAAAATCAGTGAATATTTCAGACTCTCCAAGTCTTTTGCTGTCACAAGGTCATAATTATGAATATCAAGTTTTATTACTTCATTAAGGTATTTTCCTAATTTTACTAATAAGGTAAGTGAGGCCCAGAGAGATTTTAAAGTATCACTTTAGGCCACATAAAAAGAAGGTGGCACTACTGAGATACAAGACAAAGATTGGGTACCTCTATATATAGTATATTGTCTTTAAATGACATCATATTACTCAAACTGACGCGGCTGGAAAAATATATCATGAACAACTGTTTATGTGCATGCAGTCTATTCTGTCTGACAAAATAAATCTATAATATTGTTTGCTCTACATCTGTCTTCCTGTTATAACAATGCTTAGCATCACACTGTGCTTTGGATTCATTCTAAGCAAGTCCCATCTCCTTTGCTTGATAAATGTGCTCAGCAATCTCAGTCAAGTCAAGGAATTATTAATCCTTTGCTTTTTCTAGCCAATTTCCTCTTCAACCTTCTTTCCTACTTGCTAAATGCCTTAGTCAATTCTAGCATGCTCCTACACTATTTATAAACACAATCAATAACTTATAACAATGGTAGTGCTTTATTTTTTAAAATGAGTCCTTAAAGTGAAATTCTGATATATTATAATATTCCTCTCCTGAGATTTCCCTTTTGTGGGAAATCCATATAGATTTTCAACCACAGCAAAATGTGGGACCACATGCTATACAGAATGCTCACTGTGGTCAACAGATGACAGTGTAGAAGAAAAGGAAAAATTGCCTGAGTCCCTATCTTATTTAGAAGTAAAGAAAAAAACTTGATAAACTATGGTTTTCAACCATGGAGTCTTACAAATTAGTTCATGTAACGTACCAGATGAATCAGTTTAGATGGAAATAGTCATTATTTAGGCAGAGGTGTATCACTATCCCTTTGGAAAGATTCAGTGTGTTGCACCAGCAAAAACTGTCAGCATAAAAGCACTGATGAAGTTAAGAACAGCAAAATGAACGCCCTCCATGGCCTCACTGCATGACAACCAATGGAACTTGCAACATAAACTCACCGCAGGCTCTCCCTTCTAAGCAGTTCCAACAATTGATTTACTTGAAGAATGTACTGAGATAAAAATTCAGTACTACGATTTGTAACTACTAATTTATACTTAAAATATATTTTAAAATAATGAAGACAATGAAAAAGAACTATTATGAATTGTGATAGGAAGAAAGAGAGGAAGGGAGAGACCATTCATCCATGTTCTTCTCTCAGTGTTAACACCCTCTTCTCTTTATCCCTTCTCCTAGGTAATAGCTGTTCGCCCTTCCAATCTCAGTTTAAATGTAACTTCCTCTAGGAAGTCTTTCATGATCACCACCAAGCCAACCCCCAAACTCAATTAAGTTACTCTTTGTCATTTGTTCACAGCTCCAGCACTTTTCTTTCAATTATAATATTAACATCTGTCCCTCTCACTATAGTGAAAGCGCCATGAAGGCAGGAGTGTATGTCTTCCTATTGCATTCCTAGGGTCTAGCAAATAAAGAATGATTACAATAATATGTGTTGAATGAGTAAATAAATGAATGGATGAATGTATTAACTATGAAGACTGTACAATAAAAAGACAAATCCTTTCATTAAAAAGATAGTTTAAAAAGAGACCTTCAGAGTTTAGCAGATTTATAGCAGGGAAACATATCCTGAACACTGATATACCATGAAAAGCACAGAATTCAGTCACCAGCCAGAAGACCTAAGTTCAAGTTCTAGTTTTAACAAAATAATCATAAGCAGCACACTTCACTATACTTTCATTTCCTCAACTGGCAAATGGAGAAATAACAAATATTCCTGCACCACTTACCTCACAGGGTTATTTTAAAAATTAAATGCAAATGATATGAAAATTCACGATACACAGATTCTTTTAAATGAATAAATAGTAACAGTAGCAGAATTGTAACAGAAATAGAAGCACTTCTTGTTAACATAATAGTGGTATTCCCAATGGTAGTGGTGTTTTTCATTCCAATTAAGGAAAAATAATCACGGGTCATAGAGTGATTTTTAAAAAATTTTTATTTCACCAGGCACCAGGTTTCATATGAAGCAATTTTGAAGGATAAGAAAAGTATCAGCCAGCGTGGTGGCTCATGCCTGTAATCCTAGCACTCTGGGAGGTCGAGGTAGGCGGACTGTCTGAGGCCAGGAGTTCGTGACCAGCCTGGCCAACATGGCGAAATCCCGTCTCTACTAAAAATACAAAAATTAGCCAGACATTGTGGCTGGTGCCTATAACCCCACCAGCTACTCAGGAGGCTGAGACAGGAGAATCGCTTGAACCTGGAAGGCGGAGGTTGCAGTGAGCCAAGATGGCATCATTGCACTCCAGCCTGGGCAACAGAGTGAGACTCCATCTCCAAAAAAAAAAAAAAGTATCAAGCATACACGGTACTTTGCCATTCTACATATCTCATGGTAAGCACTATGTTATGTATTTTACATTTATCATATCATTTAATCCTCATCATAACTCTGTAAGATAGGTATTATTCCCATTTTACAGAGGAGAAAAGTGAGGCTCAGAGAGGTTATGAAATTTTTCTAAGGCTACTCAACAGGAAATAGCACCTCCATGGTCATAACCTAGACTTTGCCATTACTAATAACTACTGCTTTGCTCTCATCCCAAGTTCAATCTTCTGATTTCTGACCAACACCTCCTGATTCTACTCATATCCTTTAGAATTCTGAGTCCAACAATTACTCAATCCTATAAGAACCCACAATCCATTTGGTCCTACCCCCTTTCCATTGTCTCTTGCCCCTCTCATGATCTCCCTTTTCAGTTCATTACCCAGCCTAGGTTTCATGGTCTACCCTTATAATCACTCCCTTATGTATGCCCTTATTACCCTTGCCTCTTTCTCTTTCCACCTTTATAACCTATAAGCTCCTACCTTGGTTAAATCTAAAACTGCTAAGATTATACCAAAGTATACAGAAGAATGTGGCTGAAGAAAAAGATAATTACGTTGCCTGGTCGCATTTTAAATTGATGTCAAATGAATGCTAGTAACTAGTGATACCCAGCAAGGGTACTATATTTCCTTAATCCATTCATTCAACCACCCTTACACAATTATTTCCCAACTTCTCTCTTCTCAAACCTCTAATACGAACACACTTGTAGCCAACAGTGGCAGTATCAGAGGACAATGTCCATATGTTCCCACCACATCTGCCAAACTCCTTGTTTCTGCACCCATACATTCTGCCAATCCTCCTATTACTTCCATGAACTACCCATGCTCTGAAGGCCAACTCCTCAAATTTACACTATATTATACAACCTCTCACTTAAGAATATCAATTCAAAACTCTACAATGTCAGTTTTTCCCTCTCTACTGGAGCATTCTTGTGAGCAAATACGCTATAATATCTCCATTTGAAAAATCTCCATCAAACCTCCATTTCTCTCCAGCTACCACCCTAATGTCTGCTCTCTTTTACAGAAAAACACCTTGAAAGAATTGTCTAAAATTAGTGTTTCTACTTTCTCTCCTCTGGGTCTCTCAGTTCTATCCAAATCAGACTTCAGTGTCTACCACTTTTCTGAAATTGCTTGCCAAAGTCATCAAAGATCTTCCTATGGCTAGTCCAAATAGTTCAAGTCTTGATTCTATTACTCGACCTATCAGCAACACTGACCTACTTTATCCTTCTTGAAATGTTTTCTTCACTTGGCTACAGGACATCACTCTCCCTTGGTCTACTCCTACCTCACCGGCCATTCTTTAGTCTTCTTTGCCAGTTCCTCTTCATCTCATTGCCCCATAAATACTGGAGTGCCCTCAAGTCAGACCCCAGGCTTCTTCTCTTCTCTAACTACATTCACTCTGTTGAAAATTGTTTTTAAATTTTTATTTTGTTATTTCTTTTTAAAGATAAGGTCTTGCTCTGTCACTCAGGTGGTAGTGCAGTGGCACAGTCATAGCTGACTGTAGTCTCAAACTCCTGGGCTTAAGCAATCCTCCCACCTCAGCCTTCCAAAGTGCTAGAATTTCAGGTGTGAGCCACTGCACCAGGCCTACATTCACTCTTTAGATGATCTCACTCTATAGATGGCTTTAAAGACATCCCGTCTCATGGCTTTACAGAGTATCAATATGCTATTCCTAAAGCTTTTTTTCTTTTCTTTTTTTAAAAGAGGCAGGGTCTTGTTCTGTTGCTCACGCTGGAGTGCACTGGCATGAGCACAGCTTACTACAGCCTCAAATTCCTGAGCTCAAGTGGTCCTCCTGCCTCAGCTTCCCAAGTAACTGGGCCTACAGGCATGTGCCACTGCATCTGGTATTTTCCTTTTTTTAATAGAAACGGTATCTCACTTTGTTGCTTAATCTGCATCTTGAACTCCTGGCTTTGAGCTATCCTCCTGCCTTAGCCTCCCAAAGTTCTGGGATTACATGCATGAACCACTACTCTCAGCTCAATTCCTGAATTTTTAATTCCTGCCCAGACACCTTCCCTAAACCCTAACTGCCTGTTCAACATATCCAACTTGGATATTTATTTAGTAGGTATCTTACACCTAATATGTATAAAACTAAATTCTTGATTTCCCTAAAACCTGATCTGGCAATCTATCTATTTCATCTCATTGACAGTAACTCAAACCTTCTAGTAGTTGGCTCAAACCCAAAGCCCTGGAATCAGCACTGATTCCTCATT